TATACTTTTCGTTCGGTTTTATAATTTCTCTTGAATGCACTTGGCAGACCTCAAACAGATCACAAACACACTCCTACTCTGCCACTCTGATCACAGCAAAAGCTGTTTGCAGCAGGTTGAGCTTGGTCGACTTGTTCACCCCCCCCCCCCTCCCCCCAACACCCCTTTTCCCAACAGCTGGAATTGGAATTGGAATGTAGAGCAGAAACCCACCCACACTGGACTACATGTTACTTTGTAGCCGTTTTTCGCTACCTCAGTATAGCTGTGCTATATGGTTATACGGGAAGCCGCCGACTAGACGCTCGCCTGCCGATCGGAAGGTCGTGGATTCGGGTAACGTTATTTTGTAAAGAAAATTTTCTCTTGAAAAAAAAAAAAGACTTTGTCTCCCAAGTCAACCAAGCCTTAGGTAGGTACCAGGTAAAGTCTTATACAATAAATGCGGTCGGCGGTAATGCTGACCATACTACCCACATATTGCCGATATATGTTTAACCCTATATGCCCAACCACCTGAAGGGGTGGAAAGGGGTTCTTTATTTACTTTTTCATTTTTACTTATGTGTCTGTACGGTAGAACGAGGTTTCCAGGATGTGTGCCTGTTTGATTCTCATTTGTGAGATGGTAATCTGTCAGATTGCAGTCCTGGAGGGGAACAATTTGAAAACCAAATGTGTTGCTGACATTGCTATTTAGTATGAAGCGTTAACCATTCCCAACTTCTCGGTCATAACATTATCAAGTAGTAGGACAGATTTCTTCCTCTTCGACTTTCACTTATCGCCAGTTTCTAAAACATGTCTGAAACATATTTATACTCAGTTGGAAAATCCAAATGGAGTCAAGAGTTGTGTATAATGGATATACAGAGTGATAGCAGTACTAGCAGACTGGCAGTAGGAAATCAGAGCAGTAATTATTGTTACAGTGTCTTTTGGATAGATGTGTACCCACCTGTTCGTATACTATTAATCCCCACTCCAGTGTCCCATGCCCGATCAGAAACTGCCAGAAAAACTGAAAAGAAGAATAAAATGTGTAACGACTAGGCGATAACGTTTGTTACCACTAGACAACATCAGCTGATGATAGTGTGGTCTTAAATGCTGGCGTGGATACAGACTGTCAGATAACTTGAAAGAGAATGTTGTTTTCAGACCATTTTTGTTGTTGTTGTATAATTCTATATAGAAGTTGTAGAGAAATTGTAACAACAAGTGTCACAATCGACATTTTGTGGTTGTTTTGTTCAGCTCAAGTTAGTTTCATCGACATTTGTAGACATTCTTGCTGATACCGACACCGACACCACATTCAGTTCCCAGCTGTGGTTTTATAGATGTTTGACCAACTTCATGATGTGATTCTATACGCGTGTGAGAGCAATCAGCAAAACATTTTACTCTGAACGACTCTGTACTTTAATCTCCCTCTATCCCTTGTTCTCTCTCTTTCTCGCCCTCTCTCTCTCTCTCTTTCTCTCTCGCTCCCTCTCTCTATGTCTTTCACCACACTTTACCTTTCCAAAGTAAAATGTTTTGCATGCAATATGTCCTTATATAAACTCAGAACTTACACCCAACATAGTAGAAAATCATTCGATGATATGAATCTACAGGCCACAAACACAAGTGCAATGACTCCTTCAACAAAATGTTGTCTGGAGGCGTCAGGGTGGAAAGCAAGGTCACTGCTACAGTTATCAATACATGTAGTATCACATGATTAGTGTTTATCATGCCCTGTAAAAACAAATTGACCTGAGAGATCTCAGAACTTAGCAATGGGACCGGGCGCTGAAAATGAGTCAATATTTCCACCAAGCCAAACGACTCTGCAGTTAAAAAAAAAAGATTTTAGCTTATAGTTTCAGCAACAATAAAACTGTTCCAAAAACAAACCCTTTGGAACGAGAACATAGGTGAGTAAAAAAAGTAAACTTCAAACTGGGCATGTGCAGTTGTGAACTAGTGCACCAGACAGCAGGCAAGAACCGAATCATCTCCCAAGATCGACATTTCAAGGAAGGTAATCTGGTCTAGAGAAATAGCAGTGTAACAAATACTATAGGAACCATTAGGTGAACTAAAAAAACAAAACAATGACATGTATAGGTGAACTAAAAAAACAAAAACAATGACATATATATGTGTCAACATGACTGATATCGATATTTTATTAAACGAACGAAAAGAAAAAAAAAAAATCCTCTTCTGTGCTGTCTTATAGTTGGAAGACTCAGCGGGATGGCAAAGAATCAAACGTCGCAATTTTCAGTTTGGATCAAGTCAGTCTTCTGAATGTAACAGTGGCTATAACTATTCTCTTCAAATGTGTTATTTTCTGTCCATCACAAATGGATACAATGCTATCTGGACCAATTATCCAAAGGGTCAGTCCTTTGAAACATAAGTAGTGTAAAACAAGGCATGCGTCACGTTTCGACGTACCTCTTCGTTAGGTAAGCTCAGATGATCGCCTGTAACAAAGTCAAAGAAACCTCCTTGCAACTTGGAATATGTTGTGTTTATAGACCTGGTTGAGCGACAGGAACAAAAAAAAAAAAAACACTGTCATGTAGCATCTCATTAGGGAGCTAAAAGCGTGTGTAAAACATATAGCATATTTGATGAATTTATAAATAATGCAGATTGGAAATAGATAAATAAGTACTTAGTTAATGTTACAGATGGTAACATAATAAGCTAAACTATGGCATAATACGATGACCACAAACTGTAAAATCAGCAATATATAAAATATGATGGTGGCGATGTAAGTTTAATAATAAATACATGGATATTAACTAAAAACTTAAAATTAAGGAAATTACTGCAAATCCATAACTGAATGCAGATGTCAAGTTTGAAACGCGAAGGGGACAACATTACAGAAATAATGAATTGCTCTTAAATACGATTAGACAATGAAAGCACCAACAGGCGTACAACTACAAGAACATATTAACGGACTCTACTCAGCATGCAACAACTATTATATGAAGATCAACGTAGGCAAAAAAACAAAAAAAGTTGACATTTTCCACAATGGCACGAACACGAAAAACGCACACACGCACGGCGACAGGCAAGCAGGCAGGCAGACACACACACAGACACAGGCACGCACACACACACACCGAAAGGCAGGCAAGCAGGCACGAATACACACTCACCCACACACGCCGGCAATCAGGCAGGCACGCACACACACACACACACACGCACAGGCAGGCATGCAGACAGGTACGCACACACACTCTCTCACCCACACACGCAGACAGGCAGGCACGCACACACACACACACACACACAAGCAATCAGACACGCAGGTACGCACACACACACACACACAGGCAGGCAGGCAGGCACGCACACACACACTCTCATCCACACACGCAGACAGGCAGGCCGGCAGGCACGCACACACACACAAGCAGGCAGGCAGGCAGACACGCAGGCACGAACACACACACACACACACACACAGGCAGGCAGGCACGCACACACACACTCTCACCCACACACGCAGGCAGGCAGGCAGGCGGGCACGCACACACACACACAAGCAGACAGGCAGGCAGACACGCAGGCACGCACACACACACACACACACAGGCAGGCAGGCAGGCACGCACACACACACACACTCTCACCTACACACGCAGGCAGGCAGGCACGCACACACACACACACACAAGCAGGCAGGCAGGCAGACACGCACACACACACACAGGCAGGCAGGCACGCACACACACACACTCTCACCCACACACGCAGGCAGGCAGGCAGGCACGCACACACACACACACACAAGCAGGCAGGCAGGCAGACACGCAGGCACGCACACATCCACACACAGGCAAGCAGGCAGGCACGCACACACACACACTCTCACCCACACACGCAGGCAGGCAGGCACGCACACACACACACACACACAAGCAGGCAGGCAGGCAGACACGCAGGCACGCACACATCCACACACAGGCAGGCAGGCAGGCACGCACACACACACTCTCACCCACACACGCAGGCAGGCAGGCAGGCACGCACACACACACTCTCACCCACACAAGCGCAGGCACACACACACATTTACACACATCAAGACACAGAAAGCATGTTCAGGAAGGTGAGGACAGGTATACTTTGCGCAGAATGACATGCTTCGCTTTGAAGGTCAAGGGTAAAGAGAACTGTCTGGATCTTTTCTCTGAGGCTTGGGAGATTTTTGTAGTACCAGTATCTGATGTTGATATATTTGTCCTGTCTCATACGTACCAGTATCTGATGTTGATATATATGTCCTGTCTCATACGTACCAGTATCTGAAGTTGATATATATATGTCCTGTCTCATACGTACCAGTATCTGAGGTTGATATATTTGTCCTGTCCCACACGTACCAGTATCTGATGTTGATATAAATGCCCTGTCTCATACGTACCAGTATCTGATGTTGATATATATGTCCTGTCTCATATGTACCAGTATCTGATGTTGATATATTTGTCCTGTCTCATATGTACCAGTATCTGATGTTGATATATTTGTCCTGTCTCATACGTATCAGTATCTGATGTTGATTTATTTGTCCTGTCTCATACGTACCAGTATCTGATGTTGATATATTTGTCCTGTCTCATAAGTACCAGTATCTGATGTTGATATATATGTCCTGTCTCATACGTACCAGTATATGATGTTGATATATATGTCCTGTCTTATAGTACCAGTATCTGATGTTGATATATTTGTCCTGTCTCATACATACCAGTATATGATGTTGATATATTTGTCCTGTCTCATACGTACCAGTATCTGATGTTGATATATTTGTCCTGTCTCATACGTACCAGTATCTGATGTTGATATATATGTCCTTTCTCATACGTACTAGTATCTGATGTTGATATATTTGTCCTGTCTCATACGTACCAGTATCTGATGTTGATATACTTGTCATGTCTCATACGTACCAGTATCTGAGGTTGATATATTTGTCCTGTCGCATACGTACCAGTATCTGATGTTGATATCTTTGTCCTGTCTCATACATACCAGTACCTGTTGTTGATAAATTTGTCCTGTCTCATACGTACCAGTATCTGATGTTGATATATTTGTCCTGTCTCATACGTACCAGAATCTGATGTTGATATATTTGTCCTGTCTCATACGTACCAGTATCTGATGTTGATATATATATATGTCCTGTCTCATACGTACCAGTATCTGATGTTGATATATTTGTCCTGTCTCATACGTCCCAGTATCTGAAGTTGATATATATGTCCTGTCTCATGTGTACCAGTATCTGATGTTGATATATTTGTCCTGTCTCATACGTACCAGTATCTGATGTTGATATATAAGTCCTGTCTCATATGTACCAGTATCTGATGTTGATATATTTGTCCTGTCGCATACGTACCAGTATCTGATGTTGATATATTTGTCCTGTCGCATACGTACCAGTATCTGATGTTGATATATATGTCCGGTCGCATACGTACCAGTATCTGATGTTGATGTATGTGTCCTGTCGCATACGTACCAGTATCTGATGTTGATATATTTGTCTTGTCGCATACGTTCCAGTATCTGATGTTAATATATTTGTCCTGTCGCATACGTACCAGTATCTAATGTTGATATATATGTCCCGTCTCATACGTACCAGTATCTGATGTTGATATATATGTCCTATCGCATACGTACCAGTATCTGATGTTGATATATTTTTCCTGTCTCATACGTACCAGTATCTGATGTTGATATATTTGTCCTGTCGCATACGTACCAGTATCTGATGTTGATATATATGTCCTGTCGCATACGTACCAGTATCTGATGTTGATATATTTGTCCTGTCGCAAGCGTACCAGTATATGATGTTGATATATTTGTCCTGTCGCAAGCGTACCAGTATATGATGTTGATATATTTGTCCTGTCGCATACGTACCAGTATCTGATGTTGATCTATTTGTCCTGTCGCAAGCGTACCAGTATCTGATGTTGATCTATTTGTCCTGTCGCAAGCGTACCAGTATATGATGTTGATATATTTGTCCTGTCGCTTACGTACCAGTATCTGTTGTGAGCAACAAGAGGCAAATCGATCTTCTGTTCAAAAGCCCTGCAATAAGAGAAAATATCAGAAGTGAAAACAAAGGCTGTCAACACGAATAACGAAAAGTCAAATTGTCAACAACATGAAGATGTGCAGCATTGCTACTACGAAGGTTGATGTTTGCAAAATAGTATGGATCAGTAGCAGAGGCAATACCAGGTAGCACTGGCAAGAAAAAAACAGGGAGGAAAAAAAACCCCACAAACACTGTCAGGACACCAGACACAGACAGTACAAATGAACAACGGCTTGAAGAGAAGACACAGACAGTACAAATGAACAACGGCTTGAAGAGAAGACACAGACAGGAAGTGCATAGGCAGTAACAATAAACTGAGAGGGGTGATAAAAGACCATAAACTTATTCTGTTACAAGGATCGCAAATACAGGCAATAACAGATAACATAGACATAGAGACATGGGAGACGCTAACAATAACAATGACAGAGAATGCGGACACATGCAAAAGGCGAATTAATGACACTGACAGGGAAACAGGAAAGTGTGCCATACACAGTAATGGAGAAGTATACCATAAACAATAACAGAGAAGTATACCATAAAAAAGTAGCAGAGAAGTACGTCATACTAAGTATCAGAGAAGAGTGTCACACCCAATGTAACAGAGAAATGTGTCACACACAGTAACAGAGAAGTGAGTTACACACAGTAAAAGAGAAGTGAGTTACACACAATAACAGAGAAGTGTGACACACACAGTAACAAGTAACTGTGTCATACACAGTACAAGACACATCCTTAATGAGATGGATGAATATAATTGATTATACCCACCACCCCATCACTTATTTTCCGTAAACTAAGCAGTCACTGTGATTTTATTCTGTTACACTGCACTGAACAGATTATCAAAATGCTCTCATCTCTCTCTCTCTCTCTCTCTCTCTCTCTCTCTATATATATATATATATATATATATATATATATATATATATATATATCCCCCTCTCTCACTGTCTCTTTCATTCAGTGCCTCTCAACTGCACCCGAGACTGCTAGCGCCCCCTGGAAAGCCCTAGAGCCCCCTAACCCCAGTAGCGCCCACTTTGGGAAACACTGAATTATAGACTGTCGAGTGTACCCGTAGTTTGATCTCCCCACCTCTGCACAATAGAGTGCACTTGTTGACAGAGAATACCTGATTCCTTGGGGAAAGATATCCTCAGTGGCGTCCCATGTGGTTACAGCCTTGGTGCTATCCTTGGGGTAAAACCAAGAGTCGATCTGCAGATACCTGGTGGCATATTCATTTTCATATATATATATATATATATATATATATATATATATATATATATATATATATATATATATATATATATATATATATATATATATATAGCACTGACATTAAAAACGGTAAATTCTATTTTCAACATAATGGTGACTGGTGACTGGGCGTAAAAGAAAATGAAACGCGCTTCGCTTAGATCTCGGGCCACAAAATATGCCAGAATCTACTACAATTGTTCTGTGCTAAGGGAATACTGCTTTTTTCTAAAGAGTTTAGAAATGTGTTCTTGTTAGGTTGTGTCAACTCTGAGTTCTAATGCAGTTAGTTCTCGATTCACATACACTAAAACCTAACCACCTGCTAAATACTTGGCGTAACTAAACCCTAACCATCTGACCCAGCAACGCACACAAACAAAACCTACTCACTGTTAACTCGCATATAAGAAGGTTAGTTGCGTGTCCTTTACAGGACGTTGCAGAACCAAGCCCAACAGCCCCTGGCTGTTGTGTGGTTTCTCTGGGCAAATTTACGTCCAGTAGTTTGTCATTGCTTTCTGGGCATTGAGATCCCTGATACCACTGTCGAAACCAACGAAAGGTGCAAGGTCCGCAGCTGGGATAAAACCCGGCACCCCGGCATTTCGAAGCGTTCGCATCGACTTAGCCACATAGCCGACTTAACTCGCATACACCCATCGTTTTAACTCACACATCCTAAAATCTACCCATGTGGCTAATACTCTCATCACGAATCACGTTTTGGCTGATACAGAGCCAGATCCAAAAGACTGGTCTCTCTAAGGGTATTGTAAAAGTCTGACACAGGTCTCAATGAATGACAAGATCACCAAGTTATACGTTCACCAGTTGTCTCATGTGGACTCTAAGGCACCAAGTTATACGTTCACCAGATGTCTTATGTGGACTCTAAGGCACCAAGTTATACGTTCACCAGTTGTCTCATGTGGACTCTAAGGCACCAAGTAATACGTTCACCAGATGTCTCATATGGACTCTAAAGCACTAAGTTATACGTTCACCAGATGTCTTATGTGGACTCTAAGGCACGAAGTTATACGTTCACCAGTTGTCTCATTTGGACTCTAAGGCACCAAGTTATACGTTCACCAGATGTCTCATGTGGACTCTAAGGAAAGAGTTATACGTTCACCATTTTTCTCATATGGACTCTAAGGCACCAAGTTATACGTTCACCAGATGTCTCATATGGACTCTAAGGCACCAAGTTATACGTTCACCAGTTGTCTCATATGGACTCTAAGGCACCAAGTTATACGTTCACCAGTTGTCTCATATGGACTCTAAGACACCAAGTTATACGTTCACCAGATGTCTCATGTGGACTCTAAGGCACCAAGTTATACGTTCACCAGATGTCTCATGTGGACTCTAAGGCACCAAGTTATACGTTCACCAGTTGTCTCATATGGAATCAAAGGCACCAAGTTATACGTTCACCAGTTGTCTCATATGGACTCTAAGGCAGTAATGGAAAATGTTTTCAATGAAGTATATAATTTAAACATCTGATAACGTTAAATGTTTGGTAACGTACATCTTCATGTTTGCCCAAGTCATGATTGCATGTGTATTGTGCACTTAGGATGCAGACATTCTATAAGTAGTAGGTTGTCATTATATATCCTTGCATTCAAGAAGTCATTGCTATAAATCTCTGACAAGTGTCAAGTGTTTAAATTAGCAAAGTATGGTTTAAACATACTTGATAGATTAGTGGGGATCAGAAGAGTGGTCAGATCAATGAGTAAAGCAGTCAGATTCTTATAATTAATTGTACTTGTAAGGGATCTTTCTGTTTGTCCAGTCTGCCTTGGCACTCAGCAGTGTGTCCTCATAATTTTTGCCCTGTTCTGTGTTATAGTAGTAATAGGCGCCTGCGAAAATACATAATAAAATTTTTTTAATCTGAATTTTCTTTAAATTGACATAAATTCTTAGACAAGGACAGATATCTGTATCTACAATCAGTCATCATCATCAGTTCTCGTTATGCCTAGTGGCACATGAGGCTTCAGAGAGGACTTTCCATGCTTTCCTGTCCTGTGCAATCTTCGTGTATCTACTAGGGAAATCTCATAACTATATTTTGGTAGACATTACTCTCCCGGCGTCAAACATCAACCCTTATAAACCTTAATAGAGTTTAAATGTCTTAGAAAAGCTGCCCGGGTAATCAGAACAGAAAATAAATTAGAATCACTCTGGACTGAAACTACGCTGATCTATATAACGTCAAGTGACCATTGACATTTCATTCCTGTGAGCGGTTGTCGTAGAAGCTCTAACACACTGGTTTGCCCTGCATCCCATACTTTTGTTAAGACGGTTCTGGGGATAGAAGGGGGTTGATGATATTGTAAGTGGTTACGGCATGAAAGGGTCGTAATCCGGCTCTAATGATGACTGTGAACAATGAGGACATTCATATGTGACACAGATGAGCTCATTCAAACTGTCTACCAAGTCGTAGTGGAAAATCGCCATTACACAATTTCAGATCTTTCTATCAGATGCACGAGCTGGACCTAGAAATGTGTGCAAATTCTGTAGAAAAATCTTAAATTGTTTGTTCCTTTTCCTTCCACAAATCCACGCTGCTGTTCGCTGATTTTTGGTTTCATTTTGTTTCTCATCAATGGGTTAACTTACAAGAATGAGTCAGTGTCTATGGGGCTTGTGCGTTGCGAACACGCTTCGTAATGCCGGGATGCCGGGGTCGATCCCAGCTGCAGGCGATTTTTTGCCTTGCTATGGTCTCGACAGTGGTATCGAAAGCTGAACCCCAGTGGCAGGGCAAACTACTGAACGTAAAATGTGCCTAGAAAAACCACAACAGCACAAAAGAGGTTGACGCTGGTTCTACTACGTCCTGTAAGGCATACACAACTAACTTTAACAAGATTAAGCTTGTAACGGTGCAGCACTCCACTTCGACGAATTCAATGCCTATAGATTGCGTTATTTTTTAGTCATTATTTTGAGTCCAGTTTATGTTTCTGATTTAAAATACCAAAAGACGCTAGCAATTAAACAGTTTCGATAAACTGTTCAGAACAGACACAGTATCTAGTTGTTTCATAACATGTCTATAGTGGTTTCTATAGTGGTATACGAAATGCTGACTTCCTGGGTATAAACGCCGGCTGCCTAATACACGGTACAAGCACAAGGATTGACTCAGACATCACGCAATGTTCAACATTTTAGCAGTACATTTAACCATCCAACAATTTTCTATAAGATAAATGAAATATTCTTACCATTGTCGGTCCAGTAGCCTAGATGAGTCAGTGACAAGTCCTGCGACTGATGGTATTCTCTGACTTCTTCTGTTTTGTTATACACTCGTCTCATGATTCCACCCCATCCATCGAATGCCTTGAAGGAAAAGAGAAACCAGAGAGAATTTCTAGAGAAGCTTATCGTATTACATATCTAATCAAATCAATCAGAAATCCACCAAAACCGGCACAATACGATTACCATGTTATGGACAGACCAGAGCAAGTTATTATTCTACGCCTTAGAACAGGGCACAGTCGACTTCGCAGCCATAGGTACACAATCTTTAAAATCGGTGAATCAGCCATGTGCACATGTAGATTGGTACCTGAGACAACAGATCATTTCCTCCAAGACTGTCCCAAATACAACATATCAGGACACTCAACACTCAAGGAAAGGGTGAGACGGATATAAAATCAAACAGTTACTGGTGATATCGGAATTTGAACTCTTGGCTTGCTGCTGAAGATGGGGAGGGAGCGGTTATGGAAATGTCCCGAGTACTGTGATGTCGATTCTTAATTCAACATTCAAAGACACCTTAAGCCTTAATGGCATGACAAATAGCCAGTGGCAGCCAGCGTGCACCGGATTGCCAGTTATTCCTCCCCACTGGTCATGAAATGTGAGGAGCCACTGGCCAAACAGTTAGCTCACTAGGCTTTCATTCTGGAGGCCTAGTTTCGAATAATTTATAAGGTTAGAATTTATAAGGTTAGAATTTATAAGGTTAGAATTTATAAGGTTATAATTTATAAGGTTAGAATTTATAAGGTTAGAATCTATACGGTTAGAGTTTATAAGGTTAGAATTTATAAGGTTAGAATTTATAAGGTTAGAATTTATAAGGTTAGAATTTATAAGGTTAGAATTTATAAGGTTAGAATTTATAAGGTTAGAATTTATAAGGTTAGAATTTATAAGGTTAGAATTTATAAGGTTAGAATCTATACGGTTAGAATTTATAAGGTTAGAATTTATAAGGTTAGAATTTATAAGGTTGTACAGAATTTTTTTTTCTGCCGAGGGCACACACACATTCTCACCCACTTAGTTCATAAATTCTTAAAAGCTCAAGGAGCAACATTCTCTACCCTCGCCCCCCCCCCCTTCCCCAGTTTTAAGGTGGTTTCCAGTAAAGTAAAGTAAAGATACCTTTTCACGCCTTAGGCGCATCGGGCATATGGGAAGAGCGTCCCATATTTTTACAGACCAACCGGCACTGGGTGGGTAATGTGGTCAGCATTACGCCTGCCGTCTTTAATTCCCCAGGACAGCTATCCTGGTACCCATTTTAGGCTGGGTCGACCGGGGACGCCCCATACCATTATAAAAATCCACGCAGCCAGCAGTGAAGGTGGTTTCCGGAGACATCATTAACTACAGTACTACAACACAAGATTGCTTTGTTAGAGACAACATCACTTACATCTCCAACACCCGTGTTCGAACAGTAGGCAATAGTTCTGTGTTCAAAATTTGTTGGCAGTGAATCCACCCCTCCCATGATCCCAAAATTAAGGCTGGCTTTACTTTTGTCTAGCCAGATAGACGAGGCCATAAAGTTGCCTAGTGGGGAGACCACCATTGCGTTTCCCAATCCATCAAATATTGCTAACGGTCCAGACCCATCCAACCCATCATTTATCTTTGCGTTAGATCCCCATCTGAAATACATTCAAGTTAATAAGACTTGTCAAGTATTGAACATGTAGTATGTATGCGTGTTTATTGAGTAAGCATGTAGAATAGTCAATAATACTTTACTAACTTTAAAGACCAGAAGAGCGGTTTTTATAGGCTAGAAGAGGGGTTTTATAGGCTAGAACGGGTTTAATAGGCTAGAAGAGCGGTTTTATTAGCTAGAAATTGTGTTTTATACTCTAGAAGCAGGGTTTTATAAGCTAAAAGGGTTTTATTGGCTAGAAATGGGGCTTTATAAGCTAGAAGAGGGGTTTTGTAGGCTAGAAGAGGGGTTTTATAGACTAGAAGAGGGTTTTTATAGACTTGAAGAGTCGTTTTATAGACCAGAAGGGGTTTTATAGACCAGAAGAGGGGTTTTATAGACTAGAAGAGGGGTTTTATAAACTAGAAGAGGGGTTTTATAGACTAGAAGAGGGGTTTTATAGACTAGAAGAGGGGTTTTATAGACTAGAAGAGGGGTTTTATAGACTAGAAGAGGGGTTTTATAGACTAGAAGAGGGGATTTATAGACTAGAAGAGGGGTTTTATAGACTAGAAGAGGGGTTTTATAGACTAGAAGAGGGGTTTCATAGACTAGAAGAGGGGTTTTATAGACTATAAGAGGGGTTTTATAGACTAGAAGAGGGGTTTTATAGACTAGAAGAGGGGTTTTATATACTAGAAGACGGGTTTTATAGACTAGAAGAGGGATTTTATAGACTAGAAGAGGGGTTTTATAGACTAGAAAATGGGTTTTATATACTAGAAGAGGGGTTTTATAGACTAGAAGAGGGGTTTTATAGACTAGAAGAGGGGTTTTATAGACTAGAAGAGGGGTTTTATAGACTAGAAGAGGGGTTTTATACAATCTACCACACGACAGCTCATACAATCTACAACACGACTGCTCATACAATCTGTAACACCAGTGCTCAATCCCAAACAGTCTTTCAACAACTCTCTTTTTATTTCCACAACTATTAATCCCAACTTGTTTTTTATTCCAATTTCTTTACATTTCCAGACAGTCTTTTAAATACTTTTCCTCCCTATAACAAAAAAATCTATTATCTCATACAGCTTTGTGCAGGTTGTTGAGGTCAAAGTTCGGCAACTCGGGAAGAAAACGAAATCGCATCTTCGGAAAACAAAACCAAGATACCGATGTAATTGTCACTGGAACGATGTAGTTCGTGCTTTGTGTGACACTCTTATGCAAAAACGCGTGCAAATTCATATGTAACGTTGTGTCAAAATTTTAAAGTAATCGGTGAAGAACTTACGGGATTCTCCTTCATGCAAATTTCGGAAGACAACAGTCAGAGTGAACTGCTGATATGTTCTACAAAATGATTGCTCATGTAGTATATGGCACAACAGCTGACATGTTCTACAAAATGATTGCTCATGTAGTATGTGGCACAACCGCTGATATGTTCTACAAAATGATTGCTCATGTAGTATGTGGCACAACAGCTGACATATTCTATAAAATGATTGCTCATGTAGTATATGGCACAACAGCTGATATATTCTATAAAATGATTACTTATGTAGTATATGGCACAACAGCTGATATATTCTATAAAATGATTACTTATGTAGTATATGGCACAACAGCTGATATATTCTATAAAATGATTGTTTATATAGTATATGGCAAAACAGCTGATATATTCTATAAAATGATTACTTATGTAGTATATGGCACAACAGCTGATATATTCTATAAAATGATTACTTATGTAGTATATGGCACAACAGCTGATATGAGGCACGTATCCTAAAAGCAAATTGCCAGCTCCGTATAAAATGATTGCTCGTGTAGTATATGACACAACAGCTGATATATTCTATAAAATGATTGCTCATGTAGTAGATGGCACAACAGCTGATATATTCTATACCATGACTTCTCATATATTCTATGCAGTGTGTCTCATATTTGTTTAACATATGTCTGACCTGTTGTTTGATAAGGTAACTGCTACGACTATGACACAACTGCTCATAAGTTCCTTGACATCATTTTATATATATTTTATAACATGACCTCCCATAATATATATTTAGTGACTAGCTCTTAAAACGTATACATGATTTCTGATATATTTATAACATTACTGCACATACATTATATGATAGTAGTATATAATGGTAATAACCAAGCAGATTGTGTTCGTCTGGGGGGAAAAAAAGGGTTATATAGTAAAATGCTCATGGTATATAGTGTGAAATATCAAACATCGATAGATCAGGGGAAGTGAGTTTACTGAACAGGGGATGTTGATTTTCTTGGGGGGGGGGGGGGGTTGGGGGGGGGCAGAGGCAGGCAAGAGATCATAGACAGATAATAGCAGGATATGGAGGCGTCGAGGTGGGGGGGGGGGGGGGGCGGGGCGATTGATTAGGTGTAACCGACGAATATATAGGAATAAAAAGAAATACTTTTAGGGATATGGGTTATATAGTAAAATGTTGTTAAATAAATCTATAGAGCAATGAGTGAAAATCAGCCCGCGGGGGCAAGAGGGGGGGGGGGTGGGTAAGGGTACTGCTTCTCTTAGATAATGGGGATATACATAATAATAGATAATAGTAAATAATAAGGCAGTATTGGGGGGGGTAGGGGGGGGGGGTTGGTATCATTATATAAGAAAATATATTTAAGATATACAGTGGAGACAGGAAAAAGCTATGGCAAAGTTATGGGTTATATATTAAAATATATAACGTCGATAGATGTAAAGATGTGAGTAAGCCAGCTAGGTATTGATTGTTCTCATTAGCAGGCCGTTGGGCGTAGGGGTATTGGTTTTCTATGGTAACGGGGGTTACTGCTGGTGTGATTAATGACGGAGCTGGCAATTTGCTTTTAGGATACGTAGTGGTAGCGGGTTGTGCAGTGAGCCATGAGGTCAGTATTGCTTGTATTTATGTTGTTTCTTTTTGGGTGTGGGGTGAGGCTGCCGGGAAGAGATATTGATGTGTTTGCGGGACATCGGAAGGGGGGGGGGGTGTTGATTCCTTAGCTATCAGGGAGAGCACAGTGAGTACATATTTGTTGGTGGCAGGTAAATGTCTACACATACAGTAAATATAACAGAAATAACAGAAGTACATAATAAAACTTTCATTACTGGTTGTAGTTGCCACATGTTAGGGCGGTGTAGACATGGGTCGTGCGCCTGAGGATTAAGGGCTGCATGGCTAGTACTATCGCCAGGGACGCTTCAGGGTAGTGTAGATTTTTTACCGACAGAAAAACAGCCTTAACCTAACGTCATCCCTGGATATAGGTTGGAATCCTCGGTCAGGTTAAAGTCAACTCACATTTCATGTGGGTGTTAAATTTGTTTAAAGTGGAAACTTACATTCCGGCTTGTTTATTGATATCTCCAAACATGAAGCTGCCATATGACAAGTAGCCCAGTGGTTGGCTGAAATTCTGTAGCAGGAAGCTAGGGAAGCTGGTGATCGTCTCGTTGACGTTGATCCTGGTGCCTGAAAGACCTTGTGGAAATCTCTGTCAGCGTTTGTGTTTGATAGGAAATATGAAATAAATGGCTTATCCGCTTGAAATCAATAAACGGCTAAGCACGCTGTCTTCACTGAGATCGTTGTAAAATATTATACGTAGATTCTACACACAGCAGTGTTTTGTAGGAGCTATCAAAGGCTTTCTATAATTAATGAAGTTCAGAGTAAGAGTTTTTGTGTGTTTGTGTGTGACAGATCCTTCTAAAATAAGTTTAAGCTTTCTAAAACCTAGTTGTTTTTTTTCTTGCAAAATCGTTGTCAGTCTGTTCTTTGCTGTACATGTTTTATATCCGTATGTACTGTGCTGCAGAATGTATGATAATAAAAAGACAAGGAAAGGATGTGAACTCCGGCCACATAAAAGTCCATAATATAAAATTCAAACTACGGAAATAAATGAGAACTTGAGTGCAAACTTCAAATGCACATATATGCTGAGAGAATAAATACAACTAGAGTACATTCTGGAATAGAATTATACTATGCCCTTTAACATCTGCTACAATCAAAGTCTCTATCTTGCAACACCAAGATAGAAATATTTAAAACGTTGATAATACCAGTTGTTTTATATGGCTCTAAAACTTGGAGCAGAACTAAAAAAGATAAAGTCCTATCACACATTTTCTAAAACAGTCCTGCGACGAATCTTTGAACCCATCAAAGATGCAAACAGCGGGTGATGGAAAGTGAGAAGCAACAACGAAATTCATTATCTGTTTAAATTACCATCGATCACTGGCATCTTCTTCTTCTTCTTCTTCTTCTTCTTTCTTCTTTCTTCTTCTTCTTCTTCTTCTTCTTCTTCTTCTTCTTCTTCTTCTTCTTCTTCTTCTTCTTCTTCTTCTTCTTCTTCTTCTTCTTCTTCTTCTTCTTCTTCTTCTTCTTTTTCTTTTTCTTCTTCTTCTTCTTCTTCTTCTTCTTCTTCTTCTTCTTCTTCTTCTTCTTCTTCTTCTTCTTCTTCTTCTTCTTCTTCTTCTTCTTCTTCTTCTTCTTCTTCTTCTTCTTCTTCTTCTTCTTCTTCTTCTTCTTCTTCTTCTTCTTCTTTCTTCTTCTTCTTCTTCTTCTTCTTCTTCTTCTTCTTCTTCTTCTTCTTCTTCTTCTTCTTCTTCTTCTTCTTCTTCTTCTTCTTCTTCTTTCTTATTCTTTCTTCTTCTTCTTTCTTTTTCTCTTCTTCTTCTTCTTCTTCTTTCTTCTTCTTCTTTTGCTTCTTCTTCTTCTTCTTCTTCTTCTTCTTCTTCTTCTTCTTCTTCTTCTTCTTCTTCTTTCTTCTTCTTCTTCTTCTTCTTCTTCTTCTTCTTCTTCTTCTTCTTCTTCTTCTTCTTCTTCTTCTCTACGTCCTTTTTTTACCGCTTCGAGTGTCGAAGGTCCTGCTTCGTGCTATCATTGGCATCATGAGAGCTTATAGACTGAGCTGGCTGGGACATATCGAGATAATATCAAAAGACAAAGAAGTGAAAACTGTGTTCATAAGGAAACTGAATGGTCGTAGCCCACGAGGCAGAGCAAGAAGACGTTGGAGAGATAAGTCTATGCATACCTGCAAACACTTGGTGTCGCCAACTAGAAAGAGTCGGCCAACCGGAGAGATGGGTGAAGGCGGGTGATATCTGCAGCAAGGAACCTCAAGGACGAAATGGTGAAGAAGAAGAAGAAGAAGAAGAAGAAAAAGAAGAAGAAGAAGAAGAAGAAGAAGAAGAAGAAGAAGAAGAAGAAGAAGAAGAAGAAGAAGAAGAAGAAGAAGAAGAAGAAAAAGAAGTACTTTGCTACCCACTAATACTCCTCTCTGCTGACGAGAAAGGGATCTTTTCGGCACATGATGGTGGAGATCATACTTCACTAGGTTTTTAGGCACCAAGCTGCATAGTTAAATATAAGCTCTTGTTCATGTTTTAGACACCGTGGCTCCTTCCAGCTAAAACCCCAGTCTTTCATAAGTAAGGTTCGCACGCAACCCAGTCAACCAACCAATAACGCATTTGCTACTCAGCAGATGATCCGTCATCTATCAACCCTATATTTTGTGTGCCGTGGCCACAACTGAGGGTGACTACAGTGGGGGTTGCCGAGCGAGTTAAAATCTCTTCAACGATGCGACTCTTTTACTACTGCGCAAAAGACCACGAGATCGTTTTATTTTTCAAAGAAAAATCGCGGAAATCAAACCTTGGAATTTCGAAACGCTGGCCTTAACCTCTAAGCCACAGAGTCGTGCACAACATTAGAAGTCTCATTATATAATTCTTAGACGTCCAGCCCTGATAATAAACTATAGCAGACGAGACTAGACGACAGCGAAAGCCATTAATCACTCACCTGTATAAAGACAACAACTTGCCGAGTACTGTCTGGATAGGTTCGAATGGCAGCCTCCATTGTGACATTCCCAGCAGAAAGTACCCACTTATTTTCTGTATACTGTCCAATGTCATCAACACCTGGAGAAGATAGATACCATGTTGAAATTATTCAGACATCCTTGCGCCTCTCCCTCTGTTGTTGCCATCGAGGGTTTGATGGATCGCAGTGACAAGTTCTTTGTACTTTTTCCCCTCAAGACATTTGTATGCTTTTCTAATTTGATCTATAAATATGATAAATAGCAGGGATATGGAACACATTCCAGATGAGCCCAAGCTTGTAAATATAATTTTGACCTCACTACATCTTGGCTGCTGTGATGTTCAGTACATGTTTACTAGTTGCTGTCCTACTCCGTGGTCCCTAGGTGTTTTCCAAAGTTTTTGACGGTCAACCTGGTCGAAGGTCTTTCCTTGATCTATGTAGGCAAGTTTAGTGATTAGTAAGAATTATCACCACAGCACTCCGGATAGATCCATAGATGATCCGATCTCCTCCTAATTAGCTCCATAGGTGTAAACCGACTAATGACATCTGTTCTGTGTTGATTAATGAAACGTCTAATCCTCTTAGCGAAACGCTAATTTCTCGTAGCTAAAAGGCTGCACTTCTATGTCTATCAGCCTAGAGAAGGATACTGAGTCATTTAATTTGGCGTACTCCTCGGTACGGTAAGTGTTGCGAATGACATTGATAACATCGCTTCTGTCCAGTACTGGACCAGTCATCGCTACCGCCGTGTCGGCAAGATTATCTGCACGCTCGTTTCCTTGAACACCCGCATAACCTGGCACACAGATGAATGTTAGGGCAGCTGTTCGCGAAATGCTAAGTGTTGCAATCCATTTTTGTCTGACAAAACAAGCCTGGATTTTTGTCTAAGCACAGTCATCGGGTCACTAAGAATGCACGCGTGTGTGAATTTTCTTTAGTACAGAGCCATGCTAATGCCCCTGTTAGAGTCATAGGTTCTATTGCAAGGCTGTTGGATGTAACAGCAAAGGCGCTTTTCATCTCCTTGATGGTTTCTCCCTTGACCTTACTGTGAAGGCCCATGCACTTTGCTTGCTCCGAACTACTGACCCATCTGTGTACTCTCTACAGCTTCCATCAAGTGTGAGTGAACTGTAATTTTAATGTCTGGTGCAGGAGGCACAGGTATCCATTCAGTTCCAGAATTATGCAAGATATAGGTAGGTATGTAGTTGTTCCCCACCAGGATATCACACAATCAACAAACACCCTATGAAACAAAGTGTCATCATGCGGATGAGGATCAACCGTGGAGAAACCCCTTTTCAGCCGTTAGGCCTATCTATGGCTAGGCCATACTTATGGCCCGGCTATATTCGGGACCCCTGGAAGAAGCCAGGGTGATGCTTTACATAACATGAGGATGACTGTTACTTAATGCAAGATATAACGTCTTATTATATATTATTGTTTTCTCTGCTACTTGTCGATTTGTAAAATGACATTTTGTTGACATTTGTGCTAAGTCATCTGTTTTTTTTTTTCTGCATGTCATTGCTGTTCTTACAAAGCAGAACAGTATCATTATCGACATCAAGATCTTTCAATTGTGTGTTTTCCGCCCAGTCAGTGTCCCCAACACAATATTTTTTTTTTCATCCTGTCAACATTTATACAAAAAAAAAACAGGGGAGATAAAACGCATCCCTGTTTCGTT